TTAGATACGAAATAGGTTTGCTTAATCGTGATAAATCTAGACTTCGGGGGTTTTCGAATGAAATTTCCAACTAGGGACGATTGGCTTGTATCCTATAGAATGTTTGATAACTGTTCAGTTTTCAAGAGAGATCGCCAATACCGATATAAAAGGGCCTTCAGACTACCCGACGAATGTAGTATCTTCCAAGCAGAGATTATAGCGATCTGGAAAGCATCAATATAAGAAGTCTTGAGACACCCTGATGAATTTAATATCTTCCAAGCTCAGATTCTAGCGATCTGGAAAACAACGGAATTAATACGGAATCATGTCTATCTAGGATCGGTTGTGACAATTTATGTACTTCGATAGTAAAACTGCTCTTAGAGCATGGGCGCCTGGTGCATTTGTGCCTGGTAGAAGATTGTAGAAATACCATTAGAGATATATTGAGACTGTTTACCATTAGACTGTGTTGGGTACCGGGAAACTGCAATGTGCAAAGGTTCCGGACGAACTAACTAGATTAGGTTCGAACCTTAATGACAGGAAAATAATGTGAAATCACCCAGCTGTCACTTTTATAGATTGATATTCGGGAGAACAAGTGACGTCATCAACCAGTTCTGGAATAGAATAATTTAGTATAATTTGCCTTTGAATATAGAATCTCAGGTTGAAATATCTAGAAAATAGGTTCCATTGCGAACTGGGGAAAATTCTGGAATTTTATCATTGCAATCTACTAGGTTTTATCAGGGGAATTAGTAATTTTTTCGACAGGGTTTTATAGGGTGACTCAGACTGGTTTGAAACCCCTTTGGAATCAAACTGTTTCTATTTATCTCTTCTCTTACTCTATGTTCTTTCTTGTTTTTCTAGTGTTTTTTTTCTTTATCACTTCATTCTATCTTCATTTTCTCTGGAGGGAATCACAATGAAACTTATGGTTTCTGAGTGGAGTTGCACCTTTTTTGATGCATAACCCTCATATTTTGGGATAAAATGGGTGGTCTTAGACAAGTGCTAATTATTCTTTAAAACAATTAACATTCAGTCTTCTTATGCTTCCATAAACACGAGTATAGGAACATATAATACGAATGCCTCCTAATCTTAATATACATACATTAGATATTGAGGCGTAAAAAAATGAATAAACATCTCAAAACTAATTACAATTTGCTCCAGAAATATTGTTTAGTGTGGGCACCCTAAAGCAGTTTGCTAAGATACTTACCTAGCATTATAATTATCGCAGACACAAACCAAAATATTTGATTCACAATAGTTGTTAAGATGATAATACAGTGTTCGAAGTCTATGAAAACACTATTATCGACATATACATTTTGTAACCATTCGTCCGTACATTTAAACGTTTTATTTGAAAATAAATCATGGAACTAGTAAGAAAGTATTGTCGGGCATGGCCGACCATATGATAACCTACACCAGTTTTAGAGTATATTAAAATCAAAGTTATTTTTAGTAAAGCATTTATGTTGAATTTCGATACATTTAAGGAAGAAAAGCTTATTTTTCTATATATGACATATGGCTTTTTTTTGGCTTATACAACTTAGTTATACCGATTTTTGAGTAGATATTAGTGTATTGGACATATTTATTAGCTACAAAGATCAATTTGTGGGTTCAGTTGTAGGGGGGCTGGGTGAACCGATGTCAATTGAAACAAGTACGAGTGTTATATTCGGCTCTGCGGAATCTTATATACTCGCCATCAAATCATATACCGTAATAGGAATGCTCCTATGTAAACATCAGGGATATATTTTTAATAGGGCTTAAGTCAATTATGGACGTGATCTTTCGAATTTAACAAAATATTAATTTATTTATTTATTTATTTGTCCATTACAATACAATTACAAATTATAATCTAACCTAATTTACCGAGCAGGGTGACGATGACCATATGCCCATTGTAGTGTAGCAGACCAGAGTCTCTGGTGGGAATCGAACCCACAACCCCCAGACTGACAGGCTAAAACACTTCCAACTAGCTTACCGGGGCGTTAAAGTAATTTTATATGAACATCAACAAATTTACTCTCAACAAATTTACAAATTTACCTTATAAAATATATAAGGGGACTTGTATGTACTTTTTCGTTCTTAAAAGGTACTTTCTTGAGATTTCCATACATAAAGATATATGAAATGTAACATGAAGTGCCCAGAGTAAATGAGAACCTAAAAAGGGGGAAACCCCTTCAAAATATGGGGGTATATTGATTTTGTCACTCCGTTTGTAACACATCGAAATATTGGTCGTAGACCCAGTATATATATTCTGGGTCCTTATTAAATTCTAAATATTCCTTATAGGTAAGGTTTGTTTGGTATTGCAAATGGACAATATCGGCCCAAGATTTCGCCTAGCATCCATACAAGTGGCTTTAACAGCTTTAACAGTCATAACTGTATTAAACATACGAGTATAGCGATGAAATTTTACATAAATAAGTTTTATATGCGTCAAAATCTCTCTACCAAATTATGGGGATCGATCCATAATTGACCCTACCCCCCCATATAAGGTCCCCTTCAGAAAATGACATTAATACTTATTACCGGCTTAAAAACACAAATATAGCGATGAAATTCTACATAAATAAGTTTTATATAAGCCAAAATTTCTCTATCAAATTTTATGGGGATCGGTCCATAATTGACCCTACCCCTCATATAAGGTCCCCTTCAGAAAATGACATTAATACTTATTACCGGCTTAAAAACACAAATATAGCGATGAAATTCGACATAAGTTTTATAAGCCAAAATCTATCTACCAATGACACTACCGCCTACATAAGGTCTTCAGAAAATTACATTATTACTAATTACCGACTTAAAAATAAGAGTATAGCGATGGAATTCGACATAAATAAATTTTATATAAGCCAAAATCTCTCTACCAAATTTTATGGGAATCAGTCCATAATTGACTCTACCCCCAACATAAGGTCCCCATCAAAAAATGATTTTAAAGCTCATTACTGTCTTAAAAATACGAGTATAGTGGAGAAATTCGACATAAGTAAACGCAATCTTCCTACCGAATGTAATGCGGATGGGTCGTTAACCTACCCTACCCCCTATTAAGGTCCCATTAAAAATATGAGTACAGCGATGAAATTTGACAAAAAAATATGCTACCTCTCGTATATAAAGCCACCATGAAAAAATTACGAGTACTTCATAGTTGTTCTCGCCATAAAAAGTTTTTTATTATAATTCTTCATTCAGAATTTTATGAGGATTGGTCTATAACTGACCATAGACAACAAAACAAAATCTATGTACACAATTTTATGGGTATCGATACATAATTGTCCCTACCACCATATAAGTTTCCCTTTAGATAATTACTTTTACGCATAATTGACCCTACCTCTCATATATGTTCATGGTTAAAAAATTGGACAAAAATATTCTGTTGTTATACCCTACACCGCTATAGTGGGGAGGGTATTATGCGTTTATGTTGATGATTGTAACGCATAAAAATATTGGTCCTACACCCACCTTAAAGTAAACCGATTGACTCAGAATCTCTTTCTGAGTCGATTAAGACATGTCCATCGGTCCGTCTGTTCGAATGGCTGGTTATCCATGTAAACCTTGTGCGCAAGCTACAGGCCACAATTTTCAAGATATTTTGATAAAATTTGGACCATACGAGTTTTTTGCCACAAGGACGTTGCCGTTGAAAATGGTTGAAATCGGTCCATTATTTCACCTAGCTCCCATACAACCTTACCTTCCGATTTAGGGTTTTTAACTCATAACTACGTCAAATAAATTACAATCTCAACAAAAATTGGCACAACTTAGTTTTATATAGGCATAAATGACCGTGCCAATTTTTATAATGATAGGCCGGCGTTTGACCCTAGTCCCCATACAAACCCCCCTTTAAAAAATAACTTAAACGTCCAAAAATTTACTATTACTTTCGCGATGAAATTCAGTATAACTAACCTTTATATAAAATTACATCCCTCTTCCCAATTTGTTGAGGATCGGCGTATATTTGAGCCTAACTCCCATATAAAGCCTCTCTTAGAAATTTAGTTTTTATACCCTACACCACTATAGTGGGGAGGGTATTATACGTTTATGCTGATGTTTGTAACACACACAAATATTTGTCCTACACACACCTTAAAGTATACCGATCGATTCAGAATCACTTTTTGAGTCGATTAAAACATGTCCGTCCGTCTGTGTGGCTGGCTGTCCATGTAAACCATGTGCGCAAGGTACAGGCCGCAATTTTCAAGATGAAATTTGGACCAAGCACGTTTTTTGGCACAGGGACGAAGCCTATTGAAAATGGTTGAAATCGGTCCATTATTTCACCTAGCCCCCATACAACCGTACCTCCCGATTTGGGCTTTTACGTCAAATATACTATTATCACTCTAAAAATTGGCACAAATAAGTTTTATATAAGTATAAATGACACTGCAGATTTTCGTAATGATCGGCCCTTATTTGACCCTAGCCTCCATACAAACCCCCCTTCAAAAAATGTCGTAAAAAAATTGACTTGTAATCATTTGTATCGCAATGAAACTCAACATAACTAACTGTTATTTAAAAATATATCCTTTTCCCAAATATAATGAGGATCGGCCTATGTTTGACCTATACTCCTATATAAAGCCTCATTAAGAAAATTTGTTTTTTATCAATAAATTTCTTAAATACTTTGGAATTAAGGTAAACTCAACATAAAAATTTCTTTATGAAAAATAAAAATTTTTAAAATATACTCATGGTGTAGGGTATTATATGGTCGGCCATGCCCGACTATACTTTCCTACTTGTTCATCAATAAATTGCTTAAATACATTCGTACGGTAAATTTTTTACAGACAGTCGAATATAGAACTTTTACTTGTTTCTTCTAAAATATTTTTCCCAACCAGCAATATACATATGAACGGATCCAAAATATTCACACATCCATTAAAAAAAACTTAATCAACTATCGATAAAATTAAAAATAATTTATTCATTAACTTACTAAATTATTGATTACATTGTATATTAAAAATGTATTCGTACTTTTACACACAATTATACTTATTCAAATTTGTTCATTAAAATACACAAAAAGAAATTTTACACTTTACATAAAACAAAAGAAAAAACATTATTCATAAATACATACAAAACATATAATATAGTACATAAATACATACATTAAAGTATATAAAAACGTTTTAAAGTTAAATAACAGTCCAAAATGTTACAACACTTATAAAAAAAATTACTTCTACAATTAGAGTAATACATTACATTATACGTTACAAGGTATTGCAAGAATAGGCAGTTGTTGTTTTTTTTTTATTTTTGTTAAAATTTTAAAACTATTTAAAAATAGAATCTAGTCTATCTGTAGGGGCTACTAGAACTGATGCATTGAATTGTGATAATCCGGTCGGTTGTATCGATGATTCGGTGTTCTACTTGAAAATTGAGAAATAGTATCATCACCAGGTGGGGCCACTAAGAGTATAGGTTGTAGATTAAGATTTTTGCGAGAACCAGCTAAACTGACAGCATCGGTTATATAACTGTTGTTGATTTCACCTAATGTATTGCAAAAAGTAATTAGTTACGTTTTTAGAAATCTTTTTGAGGGACTTACCTTTATATAAAGAATTTTGATAGAGTGGATCGGGCTGTAAACGCACATGTCTGGTTGCTAATATAAATGCCAGTGTAGCTAGAACCACACCATCAATGCAACCAATTATGGCCAAAGGATAAGCCCATCTTATGCCACATAAACCCAATTCAAAACGATTTGCATCTGGTCCACATATTTTGCGGAAATCATCCGAATTCCAGCCGAAGGGAAAAGCACCACAGGCAATAATCATGCAGAGAGCTGAAATTTTCAAGAAAAATAGGTCAAAATCTTTCGATATAAGAAATAAAATAAGTTGAGCCTAAGGAAACAATGAAATTTTAGTAAAAACGTCTCCAGAACTTCCTGAATTTCAGATTCTAATGTCAAGAAGTACTATTTTCTGCTAATAAATAGTTAATACTTTTATTAACTACTTAAGTTCTTTATATTTACAACTTTCAATTAAATCATTCAATGACCTCAATTAAAACTGTCATCATTTCAGTAACTGTTTCCCAGAAAACCTTCATTTAAACTTAAAAATAAAATACTTAATAATGATAATTTCATATAGAAAAAGAAAACCAAAAACAAACATAAATCTATGTCATTTAAAACACTTTTCATTAGTCAACAATTATTATTTGCAGACGAAAAACTTCCGTAATATTAACTCCTCAAAAAAACCGGCAACAAAAAAATTTGATGACAGTAATTTTGTAAATCAATCATCTGAGACCTAAACTAATTATATATACAAGCAACTACATATACATTCACTTCATTTTCATCATACATTCATCATTTTGAGTAAATAATACATTTATATGTATTTTCTATAAACATATGTAAGTAAATATTTACAACATACCCGATATTATTTGCAACCAACCACAAATATGAAAGACTCGTGTCGATTTCATGAATATAACAAATATTAGAAAACATATTGTCAATAAGGCCAAAACAACGGACGCCGCCATAAATAATGTGGCCAACTGTAATTTGAGAAAAATTTTAATTAAAATTTTTGTATTTATTTCATTTTTATATATTTCTTTAGTTGACCTTTCATGACTGTACTTACTTGAAATGAAAATGTTGGCACCGTTAATATGGTTTCCCATCTTCTTTTACAATTATCGAAAATCTCATCTTTTTGACACACTTGCCAGAGACCTAAACGACCGGCACTTTCATTGTCGGGATCACCTACCCATTCTGTAATGATAATAAAATAAAAGTAAGTAGTAAATTATAAAAAATTTTAATGTACAATAAATTAAAAATTATCTTATTCTAGATTTTAAATTAACTATTGAATTACTTGGGTCAATTAGGCCAAATTAATCTCTATATATGGTATGTTCCAGGCAGAATTTTGAAACAGTACTAACTTATAACAAGAAGAGTACTTTTAAGGTTTTAAAGAACTAGAGTAGACTAGACTATACTAGACTAAAGACTCTAGTAAAAATTCGACAATATACTAGACTATATACTAGGCTATAGACTCGACTATAAGACTATAGACTAGACTAGACTATAGACTCGACTATAGACTAGACTATAGACTAGACTATAGACTAGACTATAGACTAGACTATAGACTAGACTAGACTGACTATAGACTAGACTATAGACTAGACTATAGACTAGACTATAGACTAGACTATAGACTAGACTATAGACTAGACTATAGACTAGACTATAGACTAGACTATAGACTAGACTATAGACTAGACTATAGACTAGACTATAGACTAGACTATAGACTAGACTATAGACTAGACTATAGACTAGACTATAGACTAGACTATAGACTAGACTATAGACTAGACTATAGACTAGACTATAGACTAGACTATAGACTAGACTATAGACTAGACTATAGACTAGACTATAGACTAGACTATAGACTAGACTATAGACTAGACTATAGACTAGACTATAGACTAGACTATAGACTAGACTATAGACTAGACTATAGACTAGACTATAGACTAGACTATAGACTAGACTATAGACTAGACTATAGACTAGACTATAGACTAGACTATAGACTAGACTATAGACTAGACTATAGACTAGACTATAGACTAGACTATAGACTAGACTATAGACTAGACTATAGACTAGACTATAGACTAGACTATAGACTAGACTATAGACTAGACTATAGACTAGACTATAGACTAGACTATAGACTAGACTATAGACTAGACTATAGACTAGACTATAGACTAGACTATAGACTAGACTATAGACTAGACTATAGACTAGACTATAGACTAGACTATAGACTAGACTATAGACTAGACTATAGACTAGACTATAGACTAGACTATAGACTAGACTATAGACTAGACTATAGACTATAGACTAGACTATAGACTAGACTATAGACTAGACTATAGACTAGACTATAGACTAGACTATAGACTAGACTATAGACTAGACTATAGACTAGACTATAGACTAGACTATAGACTAGACTATAGACTAGACTATAGACTAGACTATAGACTAGACTATAGACTAGACTATAGACTAGACTATAGACTAGACTATAGACTAGACTATGACTAGACTATAGACTAGACTATAGACTAGACTATAGACTAGACTATAGACTAGACTATAGACTAGACTATAGACTAGACTAGACTAGACTAGACTAGACTATAGACTAGACTATAGACTAGACTATAGACTAGACTATAGACTAGACTATAGACTAGACTATAGACTAGACTATAGACTAGACTATAGACTAGACTATAGACTAGACTATAGACTAGACTATAGACTAGACTATAGACTAGACTATAGACTAGACTATAGACTAGACTATAGACTAGACTATAGACTAGACTATAGACTATAGACTAGACTATAGACTAGACTATAGACTAGACTATAGACTAGACTATAGACTAGACTATAGACTAGACTATAGACTAGACTATAGACTAGACTATAGACTAGACTATAGACTAGACTATAGACTAGACTATAGACTAGACTATAGACTAGACTATAGACTAGACTATAGACTAGACTATAGACTAGACTATAGACTAGACTATAGACTAGACTATAGACTAGACTATAGACTAGACTATAGACTAGACTATAGACTAGACTATAGACTAGACTATAGACTAGACTATAGACTAGACTATAGACTAGACTAGGAGAGCTTTTTTGCAAGATATATGTAAATATATGCAAAATATATGTATGTTTTTCTGCTAAATCAGATTTAAACCTCAGAAAATCAAACGGTCAAGTAGAGTCGAAAGTAATCCGTTTTGACAGGACCCCTCCATACGTCAGATGTAGAATTATATAGCATACGATCCCGCCTGTAGCGGTGAGAAATCTCAGGAGGTCATTAAGTTTTGACCAGGATTGCTCACCAAGGTTGGATATGAAGTAGTTGCCAAAGAATCTTTCAAAAATGGCGGCTAGAGCAGGACATTCGCAGAAAAGATGGAAGGCTGTTTCTTCATATTCCCTGTCCTTGCAACTGCGATAAGCTTGATATCTTAAATATTCATCAGATTGTCTAATGACAGCAACAATTTGAAAAAATTTAAACTCTTGGACCTTGATAGGAATTTCTTAATACTTGTAGTACATAACTACTCACTACTCAATGGGAGCGTCCCTAACATAACAAGTAAAGTTAGAATTGTTTTTCTTTGAGGTCCAATTTTTGGGTACATGAAACTAAACCTGCTATCTAAATATTTTATTAGGATTTCAGAAAGGAACACTTTTTTCCTAACTTTGGTGTATATTGCATTTTATATTTCCTTAAAAGACGTCTTTTATAGCTGTGTTTTGTCTGGACACAGTGGTTCTATATTCTATGGTATTTCGAGTTATTAAGACTTTTCATGATATTTGGGACTATTTGTAACACAAGGACTTTTTGTCACTGTAATGCTCAATGACAATAGGAGTGTCGTGATGTCCATGGAAATTTGATATTATTATGACAGGGACTTAATGAGAGATCATGTAGATATTAAGAGAATTGGGAAGAATTATTTTCAATACTACTAAGGCCTATGTAATTACGTTTGAGATTACTGATAAAGAGTCGGCATAACTTTCTCGAACGTACAATGATTTGGATTTGAGATAAAGAAATCATGTTTATCTATTATGACACTTGTCACTTTCAATATTTCTGCAATTCAATTAATTTTAATAATTTCAGCAATTTCATCCGCTGATTTAATAAACCAAAATGATATCATCTTTTTAACAAATTTTTTAAAATTATTTTTATATAAAGATAATAAAGGTTTCGTGCAAAAATTTGCATCTATTTAAAACGTGACAAATTTTATTTCAATTGCAAAATTTTTTTAATCTATAAAATTATGTCCAAGCTAAATTGTTTGGTTTATTATTAAAATAAAATATTTAAAGTTACTAAATTTGTTTTTATTTGTGTCAACAGGTGTTTAGTTATGTTAACAAAATAACTTCAATTAAGTGCAAAAATAATAAAAATGTTCTCATTTAATTACCTGGTGTCACAAATGCCACAATTCCAATGATGGCATAACAAATTGTAAATATGGCCCAGAGTACCGCAATCGCTTTAGAGTTGCGTATGTATTTGGTGGCATACAGATGTGTTGTATCGACATATTCGATTTTTGTACCCATTTTATAGCGATAATGTTGTTTCTATTACTAATGTTCTTTAGACTTCTAAGAACGTGATCTAGTGATCTAAAATATTAAAGAGAAAACAAAAATAAAAGAAAATAGGATTTAAAAATTGTGTTAAAATATGATAAGAAATGTTAGAGTAAAAGAAAATTATTATTATAAGTAAATAATTATTTCTTAGAATTATTTTTGTTTAAGATTTGCCATTGTCCATCTTTAGGTATTTAAGTCTTTTGTTTAGTTTGTCATGTATTTTAATTTATTATATTAAGTATGTCTTTAAGTACATAAAACCTGTTCATTGCGCTTATTTATCACAATTAATCATTTTTAATTATTTTATATATTTTTCTAAATTTTTATTTTAATAATAACTAATGATTCACACTTTTTACAAAAAGTTGAAAACTACTATTTTAATTTTTGTTGAAAAGAAATAAAACTAGTTTTAATTTCTATGAGATTATTTCTATTTTATATTTTAAAAGTTATTTTTCATTGTTATCAATGACAGAAGATAAAATCGAATTTTTGGTTCATGAAACAATTCATTCACATTTGTATAAATTTGTCCTACATTAAACAATACTTTGGGTATTGTTAGTTTTTTAATGATTATGGTGACATAAAAATCCATTTTGAAATGGTAATTTTTGGTTCAAAAAATGCAATATAATTTGTATATTTTAAATACAGAACCAGTAAAAGTATTAGATTTGACTATGCAGAATCATACTTTAACAAGTAAGAAAGTATAGTCGGGCGTGACCGACCATATGATACCCTACACCAGTAATGAATATTAAATGTGATCTATTTTTCATAATAAAGCATTTATCTGGAATTTTACCTTGATTCCGATTTATTTAAGCAATTTATTGACGAAAAACTAATTTTCTGAAAGAGGCTTTATATGGGGGATAGGAGCAAATGTGAACCGATCCCGATAAAATGGGCTGGATAGATTTATATTTATATAATAATTGTCTGTGATAAATTTCATTGCAATAACAGTGTTAATAAGTGAATTGCGGATATTCAAGTCATTTTCCGAAGGGGGGCATTGTATGGGAGCTAGGGTCAAATGAAGTCCGATCATTTAGAAATTCGTCAAGTTCATCAAGGTTTGTATAAAACTTAGTTGTGTGAACTTTTATCGACATACATTTATATTATACAGAATTATGAGCTCAAAAGCCATTTTCGGGGGTTCAGTTGTATGGGGGCTAGGTGAAATAATGGACCGATTTTAACCATTTTTCAATAGGCTTCGTCCTTGGGTCAAAAGAATCATGTATGCCAAATTTCATCAAATTATCTTGAAAATTGCGACCTGTACTTTGATAACAACGTTTACATGGACACACGGACGGTCGGATGGACGGACATCGTTAAATCAACTCAGAAAGTGATTCTGAGTTCTGATCGGTATACTAAAAGGTGGGTATAGTAATAATATTTTAGTGCGTTACAAACATCAGCACAAACACATAATACCCTTCCCACTATACTGGTGTAGGGTATAAAAAACAGCTTATTGTAAGGTATTTGTACGAACAACGTAACCAAAACGTTTATCTGTTGGAGACTTATAGATTTAAATTGTCTATAATTTTCTACAATGTTGTATTGTATTTGCAAAAAAAAAAAAACACTACATATGTACAAATTCACATTGTTGCAAATTCATAAAATAATTGTGAATATACATTAGGGTACTACAAAAAACAGGAAATTGGTCTCCCACCAAATAGATCCACTAAGACGGAATTTTTGGAAATTAGAATGTTTAGGGGGTAAAAAAGTGTAAAAACGGGTAAATTTGGTAACCTCATATCTCCTAAACTAGAAAAGATACAAAAACGTTCATTTAAAAAATAAGCGAACAGGTGTCTGGTACTTTTTTCAAATTCGGCCCCTTTAGGGAATAAACGGATAAAAACTGTATTTTGGTAACTTTTTAGCACCACATTTATCTTTTTAACCAATGAACATTCAACAAATATTTTTGACACTATGAGAATATTTTTAAAATTTTTATTTTTCATAAAGAAACTTTTATGTTGAATTTTACCTTAATTCCAAAGTATTTAAACAATTTATTGATAAAAAGCAAAATTTTCTAAATGAGGCTTTATATAGGAGTATGGGTCAAACATGGGCCGATTCTCATTAAATTTGGGAAAATGATATATTTTTTAAATAACAGTTAGTTTTGTTGAGTTTCATTGCAATACAAATGGTTACAAGTCAATTTTAGACGTTTAAGACATTTTTTGAAGGGGGGTTTGTATGTATAATTCACGCCCGCTATTGCTAGTCCGCCAATTTATAACCCAAATGTTCACATAGATGTCAAAGTTGTTTGTGCAAAATTTGAGGATTTTAGTTCTAATAGTTTCTTAGAAATACGAACTTTTGTATTTAATTCATATGGGAGGTTCCGAGTCCCCTAATGAAAGTCCGACCAATTTTTCTGACCAAATGTTGAAATGGAAGTTAAAGTTTTTTGTGCAAATTTGAAGATTTCAGACATAATATTTAATTCATATGGGAGGTGCCACGCCCCCTATTTCAAGTCCAACCATTTTTTCATTCAATACTTATATTGACACTAAACTGGTTCCGACAAAATTTGAGAACTCTAACTGTTATATTTTCTCAGATATACTAATTTAACATATTCTTCATATGGGGTGCCATGCCCACTATAGCTATGCTGCCCATTTTTTCCCCATATGTTTATATGGATATCAAAATTGTCCAAACAAAATTTGAGGACTCTAGCTGTAGCAGTTTTTGAGCTATTCTACTTTTTAGAATTTTTTATAGGTGGTCATGAAAGAAAATCGGCTCTGCCGTTTCGCCGTCTAAAGGCTTCAACAAAATGAATGGTTTATATTCTAAGAAATTAATTACTATATTAGGATCATAGTTAGTCTACCTTCTGAAAATCTGATATTATTAAACCTCGTATTATTATCAATATCGTGATAAAACTCTATTATAATAAGCAACATAAAACTTTGCTAAAATCTGTAGAATTTTGTCTATTTTATGACCTAGACCAAATTTTGAATCTCAATAAAGAAAGTCTACTGTTCTCTGGGCAAGAGTAAATTGTTGTTGTAAACGTCAAGATTTGTTACGGTCAATTATGGACCGATCGTCATGGAACTTAATAAAGAACTTATATGTATAGAAGGAACCTTTTGAAAATACATAAAATCGGACAATGGTCCATGCGAATATATTCGATTTATCTTCTTGTTACTTAGGGGCAGACTACTATATGTATTTGCATATAGATATGAATATCTATAGATAGAAATATAGCATTTTTTTAAATTTGTTTTATATAAATTTCCATGAATATTTTTTTTTATTATTTAATATGTGAAAGTAAAAAAATTGCATTTTTGCTTTAATTCGTTAAGCGACTAGAGCAGTTGCTCTTAGCTGAACTCGTGTTCATATTTTAATTGTTATTTTATGATTATTTTCTCAGTTATTGTTTCCTTTTTATTGTTAAATTTTACTAAAAATTTAAAAATATAAATTGCATTCAAAATGCTATAGCAAAATAAAGCAAAAAATATAACCTAAAATACAGATTCAAAGAATATGGAAATAGCAGGGAGCGTCAGATTTTAAATAGATTTCTTCAAACATAAACGACCTTACTATTTTAGTAAAATTTCAATTAATTTCTTAATAATTTTAAACAACCTTGAGCTTTAAATGAAAGTGAAATGCCATCGAATTCAAAATCAAACCATTTAAAAATAACTACATCCATATGTACTTTATATGGTTAGTATTGATTGCAGGATATCTCTTAAATGACAAACCCAAAGTCATTAACAAACAACTAAATAACAATTATGGAAAGTAATTTACAAAAAAAAAACATATCATTTAATGTCCAGAGTACTTTCACATTTATTTTAACATTTCTATAACAAATTTTCTTTGCTGCTCATTTCATTCATTAAGCAGTTAGACATTAACTTGACGTATGTATAACTTCATCATTGTATGTATGTGTGTATATTTGTATTAGAGTCTGTCTGTCTTTATGTTTAACAAATTACTAACATATATTTTTTATCATTTTGTATTTCAAAGATTTCACACCTTTCTCTTGTATTTGCACGATAAATAAAATATATTGAAATCCCATGTGAAAATTTGTTAATTTCTTTGAAATTCATGCCCTTTTTTTTCGTGAAAACTTTTGTTAAAATTTGATCATTATCACAGACGATAACTGTTGGCAATTTTCTTATGTTAAGATTTTCTTTAAATTATACTAAACAGTGTCAGAAAAATAGATTTCTCAATTTATGCTCTTTTTATAACCTTCACCTTAGCGAGAATGGACAGTAAGTTTGTAATTTTGGAATCATATAAAATATTAAAAATTTCTTGTATATAGCGAAGTCCGTAGGTTTGTTTTGTGAAGGCCTCAGATATCATTGAAAGATGAATGTACATCTCATCAGATATAAAAAAGCACTTAGGTAGCTATCGGACTTGTTGAGTCCACCTATTCTTGGAATCTGTTGATCGAAAAACCTTATATAGAGATTTATAAAAGAAATAGTTCAATATTCAGAAATTCAATTTTGTGGGCGTAGTTCTTCAAAATTATTCAATTAAAGTTCCTTAGGGATATGATATATAACATAACATCGAAACCGAGGTATTAAGATCTAATTTCGATGAATGTCTGGCAATGACAATGTCTTTCTTCATTCAGCCCTCGTTGAGTAGAACAGTTTTGCACTTAAAGTCAAGTTAAGTACCACTCATTACAGCAAGTATATTCGCTTTTTAATTCCAATTATCTCCAAAAGACCGGTACCCACATCACTCAGACCAACATGGTCTTACATTGAAACTTATCAGCTGATATCGACTTAATTACCTACTGACAGTCGGTAAATATGTTAGCCTGTCTTGGCACCATATTCAATTAAATCCATTATATATATCCGCTTATAGCATGGACTTCCGTCGAAAAGCTTGTGTTGTGATTAGAAAGATGGTAGAATATT